CTCTATTTATTTAATTATTAAAGTAATATAATCAATTACGAAGGACCACCCGCTTTTATAGTAAAGAGGGAAACTAATAAAAAGTGATTTAGAAATTCCTAGAAGAACCAGTGTCTATGGATAAATATTAGGAAATATAATCACTTAAGTAATTAATGGGCTGTATAAATAATTTACTTGAATCAAAGCCTCAAACACCTACATTGGGGGGTTATTGCTAGAACTTCATACATGTCTAGGAACTAGTGTGGTTCGTGCACCAGTTCATTGTGTAATAACCTAATCTTATGACCAATTAAAGAATCAATAGAAAATTTATCACCAATAAATATATAGATCATTAACATCAGAAATTAATCATTATAATAAACACGTATTATCTCCAGTGTACAGCATTCCATAAATGATAACTAAAATACTGATAATTTGAATAATTAAAGAAATACGAAAAGTCTTAGCTTGAAGACGTTTTCAAAGACATCAGTTACGAATCATCCTCGAGATCTCCGGAATTCCTCGTAGAACACTGGGAGATGAATAACATGGGTAAAGTAACAGCTCGTGGATTCCTCACACGCGAGCTGTAATTTAAGGGATATTACGTAGCAATGTACTAGGCTACTAAATATCTATATTCAAAGAAATGGAAATAAATTAATTTAGAATACTAACATGGGTTTTGTTTAAGTTGCTCGATGTAACAAGCTACCCTGCCCTATGCGATCTCTAATGATGCATCAAAAGGGAGTTATATATACTTAGCTAAAAGAGTACTGAATAAGTTGAGGCTTGCCGAAACCGCGTCCCAAGCTCTTTCACAATGGCGAACACGTGGTGGCTAGCTTGGCTTGGATGTCGACGCGCTTATTTGGCCGGTCACGACGGATCACGTAGAACAAATTAACTAGTTCTGTGATGAGTATCAGGTTAAATCTTGCTGACAACTTCACCGTAACGTGTCTTACTCTGACACCAAAACTAGTTGTTCAATTCCGCAACAAGTCTTCACGCCGCACACTGGCTACTTCTCCTCGAGCTGCAGTCCACAACACAATGGCGTCTATCTCTCCCCTTCGCGTCCTGCATTTGCCACAAATTATTTATCACGAATAATATTACTTCGCGCAGTTGTGGCTAAAATGCTTTGATAAAGACTGGGTTGTAATTCTAGGGAGCTAAATATTATTACTTTCTCGTCTTACGGTGGTAAACAGGAAATGGAGATGATTTTAGTTTTCCCCATGGCATTCACGTGTGACGGTAAATTTATTACTTGATAACAATTGTAACTAAAAACTCTCGATTTGGCATTATTTGGGATTCATGTTATCTGTAAATAATTATCACACGGAATACTGATGATTTTAGAGAATCACATTCAATTCTCTAACACACTTGATATAAATGTGTTTAACTAGGTAGAATCTGACGCAATACTGGTGCTTGGTTACGTAAGAATTCCAGCATTATTGTACAGATACAATTATTAGTTCATGTGAACACTACTGTTAGTTAATTTTAGTTACTACAGTAATTAGTATATTTTAGTAATTAATAATAATACAACAGTATTGTATTAGTTTTGGAAATTTCCAACAGTGGTCATCTCCCTCTTTCTCCACAGCTTCCTCTCTCGTCGTTCCTTTCGGGTGCGCCTTGGTACTGCTCTCTCTCCCTCTTTTCAGCAATACGAAGGTGTGCCCCAGGGTAGTGTTCTGAGCACTACTCTTTTTCTGGTTGCCCTCAATGGTCTTCTTTCCTCTCTCCCTTCAGGTGTCTTCTCCGCTCTCTGTCGATGATCTTGCCCTTTGCTGTCAGGGTGATGATTCGCCTCTCCTTCAGCGCCGGCTTCAACTTGCAATTGATGCCGTGTCGTCTTGGGCCACCGATCATGGCTTCAAGTTCTCTACTTATAAGACTTGTGCCATGACTTTTACGCGGAAACGGGTCATTCTTCGTCCCTCTGTCACTTTATGGTCATCCCCTTGAATACAAAGATTCCGCGAAGCTTTTGGGGTTATTCCTTGACACTCGTTTGTCTTGGTCTCCCCATATCTCTTCCCTCCGTGTTGAGTGCTCTAAGGCCCTTACCCTCCTTCGGGTCTTGTCCCATACTTCTTGGGGGGCAGATAGGCGCACTCTCCTTGCTTTACATTCCTCTCTCGTCCTGTCTAAGCTCGATTATGGTTGCCCTGCTTATTCGTCTGCTTCTCCTACTCTTTGCTGTCTTGATGCTTTGCACCATACTGGGTTGCGCTTCAGTTCTGGTGCCTTTCGTTAGACTCCCGTCCTTAGCTTGTATGTTGACACCGGCTTCCTGTCTCTCGATGACCGCCGTGATCGCTACCGTCTTCGCTATCTTGCGCGGTCCTTACAACATCCTTCCTCTCGCCTCTGTCGTGCTTTAACTTTTACTCCTCCTGCGGTTCCTGTTCCTCTTCACCACCTCCCTCTTTCTGTCCGGTTATCTCGCCTCCAGGATTATCTTTCCGTTCGTATTTCTAATGTTTCTCCTCGTGTTGTTCCTTCTTTGCCCCCATGGAGAGTCCCTCTTCCGCGGTTTTGTACTCCCTTGACCCGTATCACTAAAGCTTTTACTCCTCCTATGGTTCTAAAACGCCTTTTCCTTGAGCACTTTTCTTCTCACTCCCGCTCCGTTTCTGTCTTCACCGATGGGTCTAAGTCTGCGGACGGTGTTGGCTACTGTTGTTTTTCCTGATCGCACTTCTATGTGTCGCTTACCTCCGGAGACTAGCATCTTTACAGCAGAGCTTTATGCTACTCTCTATGCTTGGTCTCCTGATTTCTCGTTGTCAGTCTTCCTTCGCAGTTGTTGTTGACTCTCGTAGTGCCCTCATGGCTCTCGGGTCCTTTAATCCGGTTCATCCAGTAGTTGTCGAGATCCAGCATTGGCTGTTTCTTGTTCACAGTAAATTTAAGTCGGTTGAGTTTTGTTGGGTTCCCAGCCATATTGGTGTCTTTAAATGTGTGCGGATGCTGCCACCAAGGAAGCTGTCCGCTCTTGTCCTATCTCTCGTAAAGGTATTCCATATTCCGACTTTTACCCGGTTATCCATTCCTCCGTCCTTACCCGTTGGCAGGCTTCTTGGTCGTCTGTTACTCGTAACAAACTACGTACTCTTAAATGTTGCGTTTCCTCGTGGCCGTCCTCCTTCCACCGTAACCGGCGTTGGGAAACGGCTCTGGCGAGGTTGCATATTGGCCATACTCGCTTAACCCATGGTCACTTGATGGAGCGCCGCTCTGCTCCTTATTGTCCTAGTTGCATTGTCCCTCTTACGGTCGTGCATGTCCTCCTTGAATGTCCTGACTTCCAGGACGAGCGTGTCTTGCTTTCCGGCCGCCCCTCGCTGTCACTTGTCCCTCAATAGAATTCTTGGTGACTGATACTTTTGATATCGTTCGCCTTGTGCGTTTTTGTTCTCGTATTGGCATCCTTGGTGATATTTAGCGCCCTCTGATTATCCCGCACATTTGATGGTGCTACATAGCCTTCCCAGTTTGGTGCCTTCTTGTTGATAGTTACTTACTTCTGAGGGTTGAGCAAAACACAGCATGGGGAAAATATTTAAATATAATTGTTTTATTTTGGTAATAGACAAAAGTATATGCATACATAAGATTAGTTCAGTTTGTTATTATGCACAGCATACCCATCCTGTGGGTGGCAGCAGAAATTTTTAGAGGGTCATAATGGGCTTATGAATGAGCAACAAAATTCATGTAGTTAAGCATCTCTGTAACCAAGCAACATAATTTGTGTGTGGTCAATTCATGTAACCAAGCAACAGAACAATAGTAAGCTATTTTCTAAGAAATTAAAAATGGAGGAGCCTACCTTGTATCTATCTCTACACACACGTCACAATAGTGTGATGCCTCAAAAGAACAAATCCACAAGGGCCGTGATGAGGGTTAACCTATGTCAGAGAGGATCCCAGATGTGCCTTAATCGACTATGCTACGACATGGTAAAAGAGTTGAAACTGGGAGTTCAACTGACCTCTCGCTGATCCTGCAGTCTATCAGACACACAAACCAGGGTTTTACACAATTCCCCCATGCACCCCAGTTCCTTCAATTAGCTATTCTACCTTTTCGCCCGTACTTTGCGTCTCGGAGAGTCTGCAGGAGCTGTGAGGGGTCATTTGAACTCACGGTTGCAATTCTTTTACCATGCTGTAGCGCAGTCGATTAAGGTGCGTCTGGGATCCTCTCGAACAAAGGTTCAAAGCCTCATCACGCCTTGTGGATTTGCTCACTTGTATCTATTCATTTTCTAAATACATGTCTTCATCTTCTTCACTTTCTAAGAGCTCTAAGAAAGGCTCATAGACCTCATTTGGTTGGTAGGAGCTTAATTAATGTTTGGCTTCAGAGAGCCTGTCAGCACATAGCTTTGGACCATGCTTCAAGAGCCAATCCACGTTTCTCCTCTTTTGACAGAATTGTATTTTTAATGGTGTACGTGTTACAATCCTATAATACAATATTTAAAACATCTTTGGATAAAATATATATTATACCTATTTAGTTATATGCAATTGAAATGTATAAAAGTATAGATTAAGTCTGACAGAAGGATACAAATAATAATTAAAGCAATATTTTCCACAGTACCACTCATGAAAATGGAAGTGTTTTATAATAGAAATCTGAAAGGTGATGGCAATCTTGCGTATTTTCTTACTAATTGAACATATTAAAATGAGATGAGTGTTTTGAAGATTCTAAACTGCAAAAGGTATTTTAAATTTTTTACCTTGCAGAGACAAGACATTTTTTACCTTGGGAGCCGGTCGGCCGAGCGGACAGCACGCTGGACTTGCGATCCTGTGGTCCTGGGTTCGACCCCAGGCGCCGGCGAGAAACAATGGGCAGAGTTTCTTTCACCCTATGCCCCTGTTACCTAGCAGTAAATAGGTACCTGGGTGTTAGTCAGCTATCACGGGCTGCTTCCTGGGGGTGGAGGCCTGGTCGAGGACCGGGCCGCGGGGACACTAAAGCCCCGAAATCATCTCAAGATAACCTCAAGAAGACATGAAGGGAAATAATCACATTGTAATTCTTGAATATACTCGGATAGTTTGTCCTGTTTCTTCTTGTAGTACTGTCGGTATCTTATCATTTCTTGAGTTGTAAGTGGTTGCTGCTCTCTACATGTCGTCTGGAGCTCAAACTTTTCCACTGCACTTCTTTTTTCAGTCAGGGACACTATAATGCAAAACGAAAATATGTAATTGCCAAATCATAATGGCAATCATCTGTAATTAAACATCATTAAAAATCTTACCTATAAAATTTACCTTTTAAAAAGACTCAATTTAATGGTATTGCAGTCTTTCCATATATAACGGTATAATACAAATAATATATAAATATTTGGTACAGAAATTTTACTTTAAAATTAAGCAAAGAGAAAGTGACATATTATGGATGCGGAATATTGTTATTGGTCTGGAAAATGCTAAGAAAATTAACGATTCATTAAATCTTGTGTAGTTAAATACCATTTGTGTTTTGATGAAACAATAAATTGTTGAAACTGGCATCCTTCTGTGACATCAGCTTCAGACAAATGCTGCTGATTCTTATTGTAAATTTTTATGAGATCTCGAAGTTTTCACGACCATATTTTGTACGGTCATGATGGTCGAGTGGTTAAGGTCTCCCATACACCAGTTTCATAGGGCTCCTGGCAGTATGGGTTAGTCACATCTGGAGTGTAGTCATCAGTTGCATATGCTGTCTTCTCCAATTGTGCCGGATCGCTTTTCCTTTTCCTTATGTTTCGTTTTTCTCCCCCCCCCCCTCTTCTCCTATCTGCTTGTCGTTTCCTGCCGACCTTTTGGTTATTCTTTTGAACTACTTCTGTTTTGACACCTGGGTGCTTGAGGAGGAATACTCTTGCAACCGTAGAACTGTAGTACCCAACAAAGAGAGAGCAAGGGGAACCTTTTGTCAATCCTTTCGTCACTGAACCCGATCTCGACGGACTCACGGTTCTTAAGGTGGCGTTTGTGGGGCGTATACTCACGACGCACCCCTAGGGAGCCCCGACATGATCGGCGACATCATCTTGTTGGGTGTCCTGCCTCTAATTGTGGCTCCATGGTGGGTATGGGGGCACATTCATGAATGTTTTTCTTTTCGGCTACAGACCGGACTCTGTAGACACTCCTTCTATTGCATTGGGACCCGACCTTGCTCCTCCTCCTGACCTCTGACTACTCCCCTCGGCTCCCCTCCCTCCCTCTGTGGTTGGGTCGAGCCCAAGCCCCCAGTGGTAACCACCTCGTTTCCAGGCACGGCTCAGTCTCTAGTTGTGACTACTGTGCCTTTTTAACCCCCCCCCCCCTCTCTCTCTCTCTGGGGATTCTCACGCCGTCCTCGACACGGCCGCACTCGTCCCGTACTGATGAGTTTCAGACCTTGTCTGGTACCGCTTCGTGGGCCAAATACTTCGATCTCCTCCCTCCTGATTCTGCGCCTCCTGACGATTTCTCCCTTCATAGACACCTTGTTGATTCCGTTGATTTCTCTTGTTACTTTCCACCCCACCCGTCTCGGTGCACGTGTCGTTGCTGCTGCTCCTCAGGATGCAGCCTCCCACTTGACTGCCTTGTCCTGTCTTGGCAAAACCCCTGTTCGAGTCTCCAAGAACGCTCGGTTGAGTGCCAGTGTTGGCACTATTCTCCTCCCATCCCATGTTGCTACTGGTGTTCAGAATCTCCAGGACTGGCACGAAGATGTTCGTCATATCCTCGATGCCTAGGGCAATTCTGGCCTCCAGGTAGACTCGTTACTCGGCCCCTCCCCCCCCCCCTCGTGGTCAACCCCTTCAGGTTGTGAAGGTTACCTTTGATGGTAGGACCCTTCTGCCGTCTGTCATTCTTGCTTGTGCCATGTGCTCCGTCCAGGAGTACATTCCCTCTCCTCGGCTCTGTAATAAGTGCTGGAGGTTTGGACATGGTGCCCTCCGCTGCTCTAGAACTCTCTCTCTCTGTCCTTTGTGTGGAGGCGAAGGTCACTCTAAGTCGAAGTGCACTTCTCCCCAGGCTCGCTGCCTGAACGTTGCTGCCTCCACACCCCAGATGTGCCGTGAGGCCCATCCAACCTTCTCCTGTGCGATATCATTATTTATCCCAGCTTCAATCTTTTGTCCTTCGTGGTCGTCTCCCCCTCTTTCTCCGTAGCTTTCCCTCTCGTCGTTCCTTTTGGGTGAGGCTTGGTACCGCTCTCTCAGCCTCTTTTCAGCAATGTGGTGTGCCCCAGAGTAGTGTTCTGAGCACTACTCTTTTTCTGGTTGCCCTCAGTGGTCGTCTTTCCTCTCTTCTTTCAGGCGTTGTTACGGCCACAATGGGTCGCAACTGGGTTCTTTTCTGGTGGTACTAAAGGTCTGGTATCCGGCCTCAAGTTAGTAGAGGCTTTCAAGGAGTGAGCTCGGTAATGCAAGTAAAACAGAAAGGGGGGTGCATTAAATACTACACTTCATAAAATGCCGATATATTTACATATGATTACTTTTTCCATCACCTCGTATATAATCCGAACAAAAGTATTAGTACACCTAATATTTACAAAAGTGTCTCATGGAACACTAAGCGCTCTTTGATGCTGGTGATGCAGTCGTGTAAGCTACCGTGTTTCCTCATCCGTAGTACTATCCTCAGCAGGTACCGGGAAACAACAATGAGTCTACCCTGGCCACGGGCCAGCCAAACCAGTCTCACTACGTGCTTCCTCGTGAAGGCCCACAATCACAGTCCAGCCTGGTGCTGGCAGATACCTTCAGCCTCGTGCTGCTGGGCCACTTCACGTGCAAATACTAGGGTAGCAAGCCCTAGGCAGGAGCTTCGTGCAACTCGCTGGTTACTCTCCTTTTCAGCACCGGGGTCAGTCGTCTCTTCTATTAGCCAGCCCCGGGTTCGGCGAACCCCGTCACTGCCACTCCACAGGCAGACAGTAGAACACTTCAGTTCTCTTCCGGCGGCGGCGTACTGCTTCCGTAAAGCAGACTGGTGTAGAGACCTTGGATGCCCTGGGTAGACTGACTGTCCTTGTATCACAGCAGCCCTACGTCGACTCTGTGAATACAGACACGTCATCAGTACTCTGGGACACTAGTAAACAACACTTACGGACCCTGACATAAATGTACATCTTTTTCCTCGAGATGGCGCAGATTTTCTAGGCACCACCTCACCAGAGGTCAGCCCCAGCTACCTCTCGAGCTACTTGGACAAGAATCTAGCATTTCTGGCTGGTATAGTCTTGTCACTACTCGATGGCGTCGTCCAGTTAGTGGGGGTTTCGGGAGCGGACTCACAAATGGCGTTGATGTTGCTACTCTGTGCTCTGACGATGGACTTGGGTTCATAACAGGCGTCTTCTCCGTTCTTTGTCGATGATCTTACCCTTTGCTGTCACGGTGATGATTCGCCTCTCCTTCAATGCCGGCATCAATTTGCAATTGATGACGGGTCGTCTTGGGCCACCGATCATGGCTTTAAGTTCTCTACTACTAAGACTTGTGCCATGACTTTTATTCGGAAACGGGTCGTTCTTCGTCCCTCTTTATCATTTTATGGTCATCCCCTTGAGTACAAAGATTCTGCGAAGCTTTTGGGGTTATTCTTTGACGCTCGGTTTTCTTGGTCTCCCCATATCTCTTATCTCCGTGTTGAGTGCTCATAGGCCCTTACCCTCCTTCGGGTATTGTCCCATACTTCTCGAGGAGCAGACATGCGCACTCTCCTCGCTTTACATTCCTCTCTCGTCCTTTCTAAGCTCGATTATGGTTGCCCTGCTTACTCTTCTACTTCTTCTACTCTCCGTGTCTTGATGTTGTGCACCATACTGGGTTGCGCCTCAATTCTGGTGCCATTCGTTCGACTCCCGTCCTCAGCTTGTATGTTGACACTGGCTTCCTATCTCTCCAGGACCGCCGTGATCGCTACTGTCTTCGCAATCTTGCACGGTCCTTGCAGCATCCTTCCTCTCGCCTCTGTAGTGCTTTAAATTTTGCCCCTCATGCTGTCCCTGATCCTCTTCACCACCTCCCCCTTTTTGTCCGGTTATCTCGCCTACAGGACTCTCTTTCGGTTCGTATTTCTAATATTTCTCCCCGTGTTGTTCCTTCTTTGCCCCCGTGGAGAGTCCCCCTTCCGCAGTTTTGTACATCCTTAACCCGCAACACTAAAGCTTTTACCCCTCCTACAGTTCTGAAACTCCTTTCCCTTGAACACTTTTCTTCTCGCTCCCACTCTGTTTCCATCTTCACCGATGGGTCTAAATCTGCGGACGGTGTTGGCTACTCTGTTGTTTTTTCCTGATTGCGCTTATATGTATCACTTACCTTCGGAGACTAACATCTTCACAGTGGAACTTTATGCTATTCTCTCTGCTCTTCGTTTCCTGCTTTCTCGTTGTCAATCTTCCTTTGTAGTTGTTGTTGACTCTCGTAGTGCCCTCATGGCTCTCGGGTCCTTTAATCTGGTTCATCCAGTGGTTGTCGATCTAGCATTGGCTGTTTCTTGTTCACAGTAAATTTAAGTTTGAGTTTTGCTGGGTTCCCAGCCATATTGGTGTCTCTTTAAATGAGCGTGCGGATGCTGCCGCAAGGGAAGCTGTCCGCTCTTGTCCCATCTCTCATAAAGGTATTCCATATTCCGACTTTTACCCGGTTATCTATTTCTCCATCCTTACCCATTGGCAGGCTTATTGGTCGTCTGTTACTGGTAACAAACTGCATACTCTTAAATGTTGTGTGTCCTCGTGGCCGTCCTCCTACCACCGTAACCCGCGATTTGAAACGGCTTTGGTGAGGTTGCGTATTGACCATATTTGCTTAACTCATGGTCACTTGATTGAGCGCCGCCCTGCTCCTTATTGCCCTAATTGCATATCTTACCTTGTTGAATGTCCTGACTTCCAGGACGAGCGTCTCTTTCCGACCGCCCCTCGCGCTCACCTGTCCCTCACTAGAATTCTTGGTGACTCGGATACTTTTGATACCGTTCGCCTTATGCATTTTTGTTCTCGTATTGGCATTCTTGGTTATATTTAGCGCCCTCTGATTATTCCGCACTTTTGTTGGTGCTACATAGCCTTCCTGGTTTTGTACCTTCTTTTGATAATTACTTACTTTCAGTTGCATATATGCCTGTGGACCATTCAGGCTTGTTCGCATTTGTGTTGCTCACGTGGCCCCA